TGAAATCAGAGAGGGAGACAGACCATAAAAGACTCTTAATCATAGGAAACAAACAGGGTTGCTAGAGCGGAGGGGGGTAGATGAATAGGGTAACCGGGTGATGAACATTAAGGAGGGCATGTGATGTAATGAGCACTGGGTATTATATAAGATTGATGAATCACTGAACTCTACCTCTGAAACTAATAATACACTATATGTTAATAAAAAAAATTCATAGCAGAAACTTAAAGTTCAATAATCAAGATATTCTGGATGCAGAAATTATGTTTTAAACAGAAAAGGATTTCATAATTTAGCTAATAACTCATTGAAGAAATTAAGTGTTCTACCTCAAAACATTGATTTTACGAAAGTGCTACAAATTTAATTTTTAATGCTTTTCTAAAGAAAAATCTAAACATTTATTAATTGTAATTGTTTGTAATTAATTATTTTTAAGACTTCTATGAAGGAATATTACATTTAACCCTTGTAGAAGTAAATATCCAGTTTCTGCTGTCCATAATCTGACTGATCTGATCATAGTATTCATATATGCATTAGTGTGCGGTTTTCAAATAAGTATCTGTGAATCATAAAAAAGCCTGCATTTCTGAATTCAAATACTATGAACTCTAGATTTTCCTAATTATACATAGCAAATAAAAGACAACATATTCTCAAAGCACTTGCCACCCTTCTCTAATATCTTCTCATTCTGTTCTTCTCTGATACATGAATCTATCTTTTGAAATAGGAATGACTACTGCATAAGAAAGGGATGCTATTATTTCTTGGAAGATGAGGTTTGTATCTTTTCCAAGTTCTGTATATCACAAAGAGGAGAGAAATCAAGCATAACAGCAATTCAGAAGTTTATGGAAAAGATGCTTTTTAAAGGTACAATTTATATTTAAAACCCAAAGTCTCAATTCAGTATGAGATGTTAGGAAAAAGAAAATGACTGGACATGAACAAAGACTGATGCACAAGAATAGTATTTTCAGACTTGACAGAAAAAAAAAATGGAGAGTCTGTCAAACAATAGGGAGGGGCACCTGGGTGGCTCAGTCGTTAAGCGTCTGCCTTCGGCTCAGGTCATGATCCCAGGGTCCTGGGATCGAGCCCCGCATCGGGCTCCCTGTTGGGCGGGGAGTCTGCTTCTCCCTCTCCCACTCCCCCTGCTTGTGTTCCCTCTCTTGCTGTCTTTCTCTCTGTCAAATAAATAAATAAAATCTTAAAAAAAAAAAAAACAATAGGGAAATAAATTTAGCCATATGTCAGGATACAAGGGCCTATTCAATGACATGGGAAGATGTTCACATCACATACAATGTTAAGTGAAGAGAACAGAATACTGTGCGTACAGTTCTTGTCTCCATTTCATACTGCACAAGTAGATTCACAGTGGATGCTTCTGGATGTTGAAATTATGGGTAACATTTCTTCTTTAAACATTTACACATTTTTTCTATATGAGATTCTGCTTACAATTACATGGAGGGAAAAGGTTATAAAAATATTTAGGAAAACATCTCCTCAAGTTCATTCTGCCAATCTCATCCTAATCAAACTCCCCAAAGCAAAATTGTATGGTAAGAACCAACGATTCATTCAGAAATGAACCCAAATCCCTTACTTTCCAATAAGATTCAAGATCAGTTTGAAAGCAGAATTGTAGAAGATTCTCACAGAATGAACAATCACTTTATGTAACAGGTCAATCCTAATAGTTGTGAAACACCATTCGTAAGGTTAAAATAAAAAATAAAATAGTAAGATATGCTCGCAACATAAAATTGATTTTTAATTGTTTTTTTAAAGATTTATTTATTTACTTGAGCATGAGAGAGAGACAGAGAGTGCCAGCGTGCGAGTGGGGGAAGGGGCAGAGGGGGAGAATATCCAAGTAGACTCCTGTGCTGAGCTCGGAGCCTGACATGGGGCTCCATCCTAGGAGCCATGAGATCAGGACCAAGAGTCGGTCACTTAACAGACTGAGCCACCCAGGCACCCCTGATATTTAATTATTCTAAAGTAGGTTTCCTGATATTTAGCATCTAATTTGTTTAAAATGAAATAGAAGAATATGTATGTGACAAAGGCTTACAATGACCCTTTCAAGCAATGAGGGTGTCCCCTTGACACTTAGAAGGACTGCTAGTGTCTCCCTCAGATGGCCTCACTAATGCCTTCTGATTGGCTGCTGGTAATGGGTCTTGCAGCATGAACACAACACTCTGGAGTCATTCTTCTGTAAGCATCTGCAGGCAGGCATTATTATTTTTTTTTACATTATTATTATTTTGTTAATCACCATACATTACATCATTAGTTTTTGATGTAGTGTTCCATGATTCATTGTTTGTGTATAACACCCAGTGCTCCATGCAGAACGTGTCCTCTTTAATACCCATCACCAGGCTAACCCATCCCCTCACCCCCCTCCCCTCTAGAACTCTCAGTTTGTCAGAGACCATAGTCTCTCATGGTTCGTCTCCCCCTCCGATTTCCCCCCGTTCAGTCTTCCCTTCCTGCTATCTCTGCACCCCAGGAGATGACATGGTTTTTAATAGAAAGTCAAGGTTCAAAAACCATTAGAAAAGTGAAGGAACTATATGTCAAATATCATCCACATTGTACAAGAACATTATGCCTGGGCGCCTGGGTGGCTCAGTTGGTTAAGCGACTGCCTTCGGCTCAGGTCATGATCCTGGAGTCCCTGGATCGAGTCCCGCATCGGGCTCCCTGCTCGGCAGGAAGTCTGCTTCTCCCTCTGACCCTCCCCCCTCTCATGTGCTTGCTCTCTCTCATTCTCTCTCTCTCAAATAAATAAATAAAATCTTTAAAAAAAAAAAAAAAAGAACATTATGCCTATCTTGCTCCTTTCTCTATTCTATTGGTACTTCCACTGAAGCTGACAATCCCTCAGCCTAATTACTCTGTACTCCTGTAAATCATGAAAGCTTACTTTTCTCATGGTAATATATTTGTTTTGCCTCATAGATTTGTTGAAATCTTTTCTTTTACCCCCATTGTTTCTTTTCAAGGTATACCAATTTAAAAAAATCCAGTCTTAAGCTAGCATCCCATAATACCACTTCCTTATTTTTCCACAGTGGTTCTTACTCTTTGAGGCTGTGTACTCTTTAGGAAACCGAGGAAAGCTATGGACCTCTCTCCAGAAAAATTCACATACATACACTTTGTGAAATAAGCACGCATTTTTTATATTTCAGGGGATTCACAGACTCTCGTCAGCCCCATTCAAGGACTCTAAGGATACTAACTCTTGGTGCACATGGCTTCTATGTTTTAGTTCATTATTATACAAATGCTTATATGGATTTGTCACTTAGCATGCTTTAAACATTATTTTTAAGAGACAACACCTGCTGCCATAAAAATTAGACAGGGATAAATTGATACAACCTTTATTCACTCAGTAGCTTTGTAACTGGAAGGTACATTCAATTACTGCAGCACCTATGGGAGCACTTCTACAACAATGAACAAGAAGGATGTGGGCCCTGCTGGCAAGAAGGTCACAAGGTAAAAGAAGGGCTGAGAGTCTAACAAAAGGATACCAAAATGACATGGCTGAAGAATTCCAGGCTGGACGCAGGGACAGCAGTCAAAGCTGATGTGATAAACTAGACAAGAGAAGATGACAGGCTGGGTTAGGATAGTTTTGGGGGGAACTAAGAAGATCTAGAATAAGAAACATCAACAGGGCTTGGCTGTTAGGTAGAAGTCAGAGATGACACAGAGGTTCTGCGTTGAGCACGTTGAGATGGGGAAACAGGAGAAGATGGTTTGGGAGAAAACAGATGGGTTCTCCTGTCCTGCTGTAGGTCCTAGCTAGCAGACAGCTGGATGAATGAGTGTGAGCTCAGAGAGATTGGGAGCTTTAGTAGCCAGAACAAAAACCATGGAAAAGGGTACAGTTGCTCAGAGAGGTGAGCCCAGGATAGAAATCTGAAGGACCAAGCGGAGTCTAAAAGAGGCAGGAAAAGATATCAGAGGAGAAAACTAGGAGTGTGTGGTTCCTTTCCTGTTCAGATGCCACTATCATCTATTTTCCTAAAGGAAATTTCTCTGAATCCTTTGGGCATCTTTAATCTTACAAATAGGTGGAGAGCTGTATAAACAAAAATGTTTACAAACATTTTATAATATGGTCTTGCTATAAATCAAAATCAATGTGTATTTATAGTACACATTAAAAACATTAAATAAATATAAAGGAAGCTTGGGAATAAGTTAAGTGATATCAGATAACAATCACTGCTTTCATCACATAATACTGTATATCTTTAAACCCAATATTAAGACAATAGAAACGTGAAGTAAAACTATTTATCATATTTCTAAAACATAATAGCTATGTATATGTATTACAACTTATGAAGTATTTTGATCACAATCCTATTTAATTCTTACATAAAAGCCATAATTAAAGTGCAGAGGAATTCTTTTTTTAAATGTTTTATTTATTTATTCATGAAAGTCAGAGAGAGAGAGAGAGGCAGAGGCAGAGGGAGAAGCAGGCTCCCCGCCTAGCAGGGAGCCCGATGCGGGACTCGATCCCAGGACCCTGGGATCATGACCTGAGCCGAAGGCAGACGCTTAACCATCTGAGCCACCCAGGCGCCCCAGTGCAGAGGAATTTTTATCCCCCTTCTGCCAATGAAGAAATCAACACTCAGAAAGGTAAAGGGACTCTCCTAAAACCACAGTCTAGAGAATGGCAGAGCAATTCCCACTAAACCATGATGCTCTCATGTGGTTCAGTATCATATGGGGAAAGAATTTCCTATTCTGTGAATTTTAAGTATAAACTTCGAGTGTGTGTGTGTGTGTGTGTGAGAGAGAGAGAGAGACAGAGAGAGAGAGAGGAACAAACACTGTTTTTACTTTGCACCATTATGCCACTACTTTTCGCCGGGCTGGTTGTACAGAGACACTGGTTCAAGTGGCTGAGTCTAGACCAGCAGTGCAGTAAGCAGCTGACTCACCTAATCTGCTGCGTCTAATCTCCTCTGGTGAGACGGGCCGCAGCTTTCTTTCTGCTTTGATTTCTTCTAATATTCTTTCATGGAGGCTCCGTGGCCGTGGTGGAGTGGGTTTCAGTTTTCTGGCTGAGACCTTGGGGGGAAAAAAAGTAATGGCTATAGACTTCAGTGGTTGTCTTTAAATAATTCTTACTGAAGTCCATTCCTCTAGTGCAGTATTATGAAATTGTATTTCATTGATTGCAACACTGACAAAGGACTACTTTAAGCAACAGGGAGATTACTGGATTTCACAGTAACTTAGTCATATGTGCTCAACCAATTGTAAGGAGTCAGTTTTGCTGAAGTTATAATTATGTTCACAATATGCTACCATGATAGGCAATCAACTGAAATGTAACCTATACTTTATTACTATTACTGTTTTTAAAAGTAACATTTCTGAGTAAATCATCACAACCTTCTTAGATTACTCTTGTTATCTTCTTTCTATAGTTGAAGAAATAAAGGCTGAGAGAGGCTGATTAATATCCTTAGGGACATGTGGCTACTAAACTGCACCATAACTCAGGTTGTTTTGAGTTAAATCATCTTAAGACAGCTTTGTATTGAATAATGTTAAGTACTTTTTCTGTGACTGAAGAGTATAACTTACAGTTAGGCTTCACCATTCTGAGAATAAAAGATCGGTGTAAAAACTACCTCAAGAGCTGAGTTCCAGAGACCACGTCCTACAGGACAGCACATTGCTATGTGACCTCCAACAAAGGGGAACACTCAGATCACATACCGGATTTAAAGGGGGTCTTGATCTGATGAAGTCCAGGATGATTTCATGAGCACTTTTTTTTAACCGAGGGGGAATATCACCGTTGACCTGAAAGGAGACAAAAAGTACAAGATCCATATGACTCTAGGATTATCATTATGTTTCTGGATACAGCTGTTACCTCAAAATTACTGAAAGTGTACTTTGGCTCTACCAAAGACGTATTTCGAATCAATAAAATGGAGAATAAATAGCTGAGTGATTCAGAGCAAAAATAACCATGTAGAATTGAAGAAAATACAAGTTCATAAAGTGAATCACTAGTTCTACCACTTGGTGAAAATATATACTAGATTCATCCTTTCCTACAAAAAGTTTCTAAAATTATGAATGTGAATGGAATAAATAATACTATGCTTATTAATTATTTTATAACTTATAAAGCCTTTTACTTCTTATTTTCATCCTTGTACAAAACTTAGGTATCAGGAAGGACTGGTGACTTGAGTCACATTCTACAAATAAAACTCAGGCTCATGTCAAGGAGAGTATCTGGGGCAGTCACACAATTAGTAAGTTCGAGAGTTTTGGTAGAGCCCTCATCTGCCTCTGACTCCTGCTCTTACGTACTCTCTTTATAGCAATGTGTTATAGAAAGAAAGTTTTTTTAAAAAGATTTTATTTATTTGATAGAGAGACACAGCGAGAGAGGGAACACAAGCAGGGGGAGTGGGAGAGGGAGAAGCAGGCTTCCCATGGAGCAGGGAGCCCTATGCGGGGCTCGATCCCAGGACCCTGGGATCGTGACCTGACCTGAAGGCAGACGCTTAACTGACTGAGCCACCCAGGTGCCCCTAAAAAGAAAATTTTAAAAGCAATTTAAGAAAACCCCAGAAACCCACAAAAAATAACAATTTGAACTCACATTCTGACCACCCCAGAAGGCACAGTCGTGACCATTTTGTCCTATTTATTTCCTAGTCTTAATATGAAAAAAATAGAACCTGCTAGGCATTTTCTGTCATGCTCCTCATGAAAGATGGATGAAAAAAGAAATGTTAACAAGTTATAAATTTTTAAAAATGACAAATACCTAATACTTCTCAAAATCCAGAAAATTAGCATACTGTTTTCATTAATGCCTGACTGAAAAATCTCCTTTCCCCTTCTACTTTGGAGACCTCTTTGATTACCCCATCATATTCTAATAACTTTATAATATCAATTTTGTTGGAGAGAAGAAAAAGATAATTTGGTTATTCCTCTTGCATCGATGGTTGATTTTTTTATTTCAGTAGGTTAGAAATGTTTCTTTATGCTTCACAACTCGTTATTGGAAATGTCACTTAAATTTTAGAATTATTGTAAAATTCGGTAAAATCTTTTTCAGGTTTTTTTTTTTAAAGATTTATTATTTGAGAGGAGAGAGTGTGAGAGCCCAAGGCGGGGGAGGGGCAGAGGGAGAAGCAGACTCCCAGCTGAGCGATCCCAGGACCCTGAGATCATGACCTGAGCTGAAGGCAGACACTTAACTGACTGAGCCACCCAGGTGCCCCTCAGGTATTTTTGTAAGACTGTAAGATTTCAGGGTGTGCACAGTTTTCTTGTCCTCACCAACCTTAAATACTACTTTAATTGCTCACAAGTCATTAATCAGTTGGTTATTCCTCAGTGCAGATGTATGAGCTTTGATTTTTTGTCCATGTTGCTACTTTGTGTCTACTGACAAATAACGTTAAATATATTTTTTTAAAAAAGGACCTGAATTGCCACTCCCAAGCCCAGTCTGCTCCCCAAATGCGACCCCTCTGAGTTCAGGGTGTGTGACAAGCCTGCTGTGACCTACACAGCATCCACTCTCTTCTTCCCTGGGCCACACCTCCCACCCCTGAATGAAGCCAGGATGGCCCATGGAAAGATTTAGGAGTAAAAGCTGCTTGAACTGCTAGTACTTGGTGTAAGGAGGGCATGTCTGCTAGCAGCCCACCTGGAGGCTCAACGGGACAGGACGACAGCCCCCTACCTATGGATTTGGTGTTACATAAGATTTTTTAAAAAATCCCTATTGTATGGAACAACTTAAATCAGACTTTCCTATTATTTTCAACTCTAATCCTGAGCAGGATAATACATATCTTTCTAGCCACTTTTCATATGACTTTACTTCAATGTTTATTTTCCATCACAACACCAGTGTTTAGGGAACTGGTTTAAATAAGGCCAGGGTTGTAAACTCCGTTCCCCAAACAAGCACGTAAGTTCAGTTTCCACACTAGTCAGAAACTGTGCCCTGGATCCCAATTACAAAATGTGCATCAGTGCTCATGAGGTAGATGGCAGAATGGTATGGAAGTGAGTCAGTGAAAGTCCATACCAGGATGAAAAAAAGTAACTTTGTGCTAATAATGTCATTCTGCTGCTGACTCAGTGAAATTATTTTCCTATAAATACAGAACACATACTGAAACAAGCTCTCTGAGCTGCAATGATAAATGATTCCTGGATGAACAAAATAGTAGAGCCACAAGTAAATAAGACATTTATACAACTTGATCTCATTTCTGAGCCACAATTTCTTAACTTCTAAATAACAGATGTTGTTTCTACATCTGCATTTTTAAAAAGTGAGTTATTTGAAGCTATTTGTTAGAATTAGAGCATTTTACTTAAACATTTTAGAAAAAGCCAACTGAAATGTCTTACACTTCTGTAACTTAATATTCTGAATAATATCCAATATGGCTAAGCCACCAACTCCAAACATCAGCACAACTGTACCGAAAACAGAGGATTACTATGGTATGGTTATGTAGTTCAAACCTGAGGATGAAATTAAAAACATCTCAGCATAGTATTTTGGGTAAACATAGACCATGTTTGAAAGCTCTCTGTGTTTACTCTTTATAAAAATATTTGTTTTTATTTATTTATTTATTTATTTATTTATTTATTTATTTATTTATTAATCACCATACATTACATCATTAGTCTTTGATGTAGTGTTCCATGATTCATTGTTTGGGTATAACACCCAGTGCTCCATGCAGTACGTGCCCTCTTTAATACCCATCACCAGGCTAACCCATCCCCGCACCCCTCTCCCCTCTAGGACCCTCAGGTTGTTTCTCAGAGTCCATACTCTCTCATGGTTCATCTCCCCCTCCGATATCCCCCCCTTCATTCTTCCCTTCCTGCTATTTCTTCTTTTTTTTTTTTTTTAACATACAACGTATTATTTGTTTCAGAGGTACAGGTCTGTGATTCAACAGTCTTACACAACAGCACATACCCTCCCCAATGTCTATCATGCAGCCGCCCCATCCACCCCACCCTCTACCACTCCAGCAACCCTCAGTTTGTTTCCTGAGATTAAGAATTCCTCATATCAGTAAGGTCATATGATACATGTCTTTCTCTGATTGACTTATTTCGTGCAGCATAATACCCTCCAGTTCCATCCACGTCGTTGCAAATGGCAAGATCTCATTCCTTTCGATGGCTGCATAATATTCCATTCCATAACATTCCATATATACACCACATCTTCTTTATCCATTCATCTGTCATTGGACATCTTGGCTCTTTCCACAGTTTGGCTATTGTGGTCATGCTGCTATAAATATCGGGGTGCATGTACCCCTTTAGATCCCTACATTTGTATCTTTGGGGTGAATACCCAGTAGTGCAATTGCTGGATCGTATGGTAGCTCTATTTTCAACTTTTTGAGGAACCTCCATACTGTTTTCCAGAGTGGCTGCACCAGCTTGCATTCCCACCAACAGTGTAGGAGGGTTCCCCTTTCTCTGCATCCCCGCCAACATCTGTCGTTTCCTGACTTGTTAATTTTAGCCATTCTGACTGGTGTGAGGTGGTATCTCACTGAGGTTTTGATTTGGATTTCCATGATGCCGAGCGATGTTGAGCACTTTCTCATGTGTCTGTTGGCCATTTGGATGTCTTCTTTGGAAAAATGTCTGTTCATGTCTTCTGCCCATTTCTTGATTGGATTCTTTGTTCTTTGGGTGTTGAGTTTGATAAGTTCTTTATAGATTTTGCATACTAGCCCTTTATCTGATATGTCATTTGCAAATACCTTCTCCCATTCTGTCGGTTGTCTTTTGGTTTTGTTGACTGTTTCTTTTGCTGTGCAGAAGTTTTTTATCTTGATGAAGTCCCAATAGTTCATTTTTGCCCTTGCTTCCCTTGCCTTTGGCCATGTGTCTAGGAAGAAGTTGCTGCAGCTGAGGTCGAAGAGGTTGCTGCCTGTGTTCTCCTTTAGGATTTTGATGGACTCCTGTCTCACATTGAGGTCTTTCAACCATTTGGAGTCTATTTTTGTGTGTGGTGTAAGGAAATGGTCCAGTTTCATTCTTCTGCATGTGGCTGTCCAATTTTCCCAACACCATTTGTTGAAGAGACTGGCTTTTTTCCATTGGACATTCTTTCCTGCTTTGTCGATGATTAGTTGACCATAGAGTTGAGGGTCCATTTCTGGGCTCTCTGTTCTGTTCCATTGATCTATGTGTCTGTTTTTGTGCCAGTACCATACTGTCTTGATGATGACAGCTTGGAATAGAGCTTGACGTCTGGAATTGTGATGCCACCAGCTTTGTTTTTTTTTTCTTCAAAATTCCTCTGGCTATTCGGGGTCTTTTCTGATTCCATACAAATTTTAGGATTATTTGCTCCATTTCTTTAAAAAAGGTGGATGGTATTTTGATGGGGATTGCATTGAATGTGTAGATTGCTCTAGGTAGCATTGACATCTTCACAATATTTGTTCTTCCAATCTATGAGCATGGAACGTTTTTCCATTTCTTTGTGTCTTCCTCAATTTCTTTCATGAGTATTTTATAGTTTTCTGAGTACAGATCCTTTACCTCTTTGGTTAGATGTAGTCCTAGGTATCTTATGGCTTTGGGTGCAATTGTAAATGGGATCGACTCCTTAATTTCTCTTTCTTCTGTCTTGTTGTTGGTGTATAGGAATGCCACTGATTTCTGTGCATTGATTTTATATCCTGCCACTTTACTGAATTCCTGTATGAGTTCTAGGGGTTTGGGGATGGAGTCTTTTGGGTTTTCCACATAAAGTATCATATCATCTG